GTAAGGGTCTTTGATTAGAGTTAATTTGATTTCACTCTGATACAGGGAGAGAGATCTGGAAAACTTTTAACCCTTATAGCAGTTTTCTTTAGAGAGTTTTGATTTCTGCACAGTCCCCCCTTTGACACAATTGGAGTTATTGGATTTTCCCCACAATTCCCCCCTTTAATACTCCTATTGGAGTATTACTCATAGTTTATCCTGGACATTCTTAGGTATTCTTCTTCTGCTAGGATGCTTAGCCCATCCCCATCTCCCAAATTATCCATCCTCAATACCTCTCTGGTTTGGTTGTGAGCAGATCTTTGGGATTTGTTATTGCTGGTAATGCAACAGTTAATGAGCACATATATTATCACAAATATGACAATAATGATTATCAGATATTTCAGCAAGGCTTTTAAGGTTCCTCCAAATCATTGTTCAAATTATTTTGTCCATTATCATCAGTGGGGGGGCCGGGGAGAGGATCTTCTGGCCATCGAGCACCCACATGATGTGGGGGTGCCAACCGAGCCTGCCGAGTTAAAGCTGCATAATCATGTGGGGGCAGGTTACCTCTTAAAAGCCAGTCAATGAGTGGGGTTGTAAATGTTAATAAGCCTCCGCAATTCCTCACGGAATCCTTGGGGGTCCTCCCGGAAAGGAGGCCAAATGTTCTTAAAGTTTAAAATGTCAGCAGCAGTCCATGGGATGTGGATTTGCTGTGAAGTCCCCCCTGTAGCCCCTGGAAACATTCTAAGGGGAGCCAGAAGGGTTATCTTTGAGTTCTCCTCCTCAAGGTTACTCAAATCTGATGGTGACCCTTTGGGGTTTTTGAATAAAGTGGGGAAATAGGGTCGTTCAAAGGGAACTTGACGTGGGGTCCCACCCCGGGTACGATTGTTTACAATTGTAATGAAGTTGGTATCAACGTGAATCTGGGTTGGCTCCCAGTCATCTTTGAGCAATTCAGGGTTAAAGTTATCAATCAATTCTTGGAGAGTATGCTTCGAAAGGGGCTTAATAGGTGCAAAATTCATACCAGTAGGATCTGAATCGGGTAAGGGAAAAAATGCCTTCTCTTTTGCTGGGTGTTGGTCTGAATTCTGTCCTTTTAGGCTAGACAGTGGCTGAGTTGGGTGTGATGAGGAAGCCTGACCTTGAGGTGGGTGATATGTGGGTGGTGGCGGTAGCCTTCCTGTCCACAAATCTAAAGGGTCTTCTTGTGGGTCAGGGACTGGGACTGGGACTGGGGCAGCCTTATCCCTAGTCAATTGGGAATATAAGTGTGTTGTTGTTTTTTTTTTACTGCCACATCCTCCCAGAGGCACCAATATTCCATCTGGTTAGGATGTTTTTCCTCGAGGAAAACTCTAAGATAAGCAAGCTTAGTTAAATCAAAACTACCCTCCAGTGGCCATGTATTCTGGGAATTCCCCTGAGTATAGCCATTCCAAATGCTCATTAATTCCTTAAGTCTCCTTAGTTTCAAACCTGCCGGCAATTTACCTAGCTGACTGTAAATTCTTATCATCTGAGACAAGGGAGTCCCAGGCTGTGAGAAACCTTTCCCCTCAGTCAGAGACAGACTTGAGGGAGCAATCCCACTCATGTTAGCACTGTCCTATCCAAGAACAGCACAGGAGCCCAACAGTACTACCCTCTCCAAGGATTGCCACTCCGTAAAAATGTTCAGGATCATTAAGGATAAAAGACTCTATCAAAATAAGACATTATTATTATGAGCAAAACACAGCTCACATCAAATTCCCCCCTGCCCTTCTGGAGTAAAATCCAACAACTCCAACCTAATTTGCACTTTCAACCCCCTCTCCGATTGCTTCTAAGCAAACGGGTGCACCACGGCAAATGTGCAGAGAGGATGCAAGGCAGGTACGGACCGGAGGTTTGCAAACATCCAGAGCCAGATCCTGAGTGAAGCCAACAAACAGATCGGAGGAGAAATCACTTTGCTAAGCTGCCAGCCTCTCCCTTCCCGGGAGTGATTCTTGGAGACCTGCAACCAGCCCTCCAGCAGAAACCAAACTCCTGACATCTCTGCAGTTTTAAAACCATCTTCTCCGTCTCCTTCCTCCCTCAAAGGTGCTAAAAAAGGCACAATGCCAATGGCAGGTTCTCGCCTCAAGGTGCTTTTAACGAAATAGGCCTGTGTCTTTTGAGGGGGAAATCTCGTTCCCCTGGGGTACAGAGCCCCCAGAAGGGTCCGAGGCTGGAGGTCAAATCAAATCAGTGAGGCAGGAGAGAAATCTAGAAGGAAAAACTTTATGATGCATGCATGCAGGCTGTCACTTCCAAGAGTGAAAATCCTATATACAGAATGCTTAGACAGTTCAGTTGTTGATTGTTGTTCTTTAACATATCAAAGTCTCAGCAGAAGTACTCTGAGACTTCTGTTCACCCCAGGAGTGCTAGAAGTAAGTTTTACAAAACAAAGGCACATGAGAATGTGGAGTGAGTGGTCTTACAAGGCAAACTGTGACAAAGATAAGAGTATACATGATAATTTGTGACAGACTAGGAGTCTCCATGAAGTTGAGAGAGGCATTTGTAAGGGTCTTTGATTAGAGTTAATTTGATTTCACTCTGATACAGGGAGAGAGGTCTGGAAAACGTTTAACCCTTACAGCAGTTTTCTTTTAGAGAGTTTTGATTTCCTCCAGTGTCCCCCCTTAGACACAATTGGAGTTATTTGATTTTCCCCACACAGCCCCTGTCCACAGAGGGTCCGAGCTCCCTGCGGACAGGGGCTGCTTCATGGCAGCTTCTCCTGCCCCTGCTCCACACACAGCTGCCTTTGATAAAGGCAGCAGCATGTGGGGAGGTGGATCCAATGCTCATGGGGAGGCGGCTTAAAGCTGGCTCCCACAGGCATCAGCTCCTGCTTCCCTCTGCCCTTGCTGCCTCTGAAACAGAGCCAGCAAGAGTGGGAATGCAAATAGTCAACAAGATTAACCGATACACCCAGGATTATCAGTTAATTGTGTAGTTATCTACATGTTAACATCTCTCCTCAGGACTGCCTGGAGCATGGTGTATGCGCCACCCCCCAGCTCTTAGTACTGCTTGGAGTGCATGGCCTGGTGGTGTGGGTCACTGGTAGCGATTTAAAGGGTCCAGGGCTCCAGCTGCTCCTTCCACTGCTACTGCGGTAGTGTCAGCAGCTGAATGAAGCTCCAGGCCCCTTTTCAATCATCTGGCCCTGGGCAATTTCCCCGTTTGCCCCCCCCCCCCCCCCCCCCCCCCCGGACAGAGGCTGCTGACACCCCACACTGTTGCCTCTGTGCCAGAGGCAGCAGCACTGGGTGGCAGGCAGTTGGACATGAGCAACACGTCTCGAAGAACAACAGTTCTGGGGTAAGTAACTGGGTTTTTTTCATCCAGCATCAGATAAGCTAGCAAATCTTTAAAGACAGCTAAAAGGGCATTACAGAAAGACTACTCTGTTGCAAATATTCTGTCTTTCCATAGGTTTGTGCCAAGGTATATCACTCAGACACCTCCAAGAGAGGTTGTTTCTGAAGTCAGTTATGTATTGCGCTTAGGCAAGATTTAGTGCACGCAAAGTTGGAAGGAAAACAGCAAAGAATCCAGGAATGTTCACGTTGTCAGGAAAGTATTGGAGCAAGTGACATAGAAGGGAAGAGAAGGAGGAAATAAGATGTGGGTTCACAAACCAGAAATGGTGCTGCAACTGAAGCTGATTTCCAATTATTATGTGAAAAAAAAATGACCATGAGCTTTTCTGTGCAGAGCAAGTAAATTAAAATGTTGTGTAGAAGATGTACCTCAAAGTGAAGGTGAGGAACTGGAAGGGATGTCAGATAGGTGCGTTCTGTCATAACTGACATGTGGTCCTCTCAAAAATAAACTTAATTTAATAACTAATAGTCTGCCTCTGTTTTTACCATGCTTTCATTTTCTCTGTAGTGAACCTGTGTATCACACTGTCAGTTTGTAAAGCAGAAGATGTGCTGTTCTCTGAAGTTATCTTAGTCCTGTCTTTGTTTTTCTTAGGGTTCTTAATTGACAATAAAAAGGCCTTTCAAACTCTCTGTGAGAGAGAGAGATCTAAGGAAGGAAGCAGCCTGGACTTGCTACCATAGACTTCACAAAATGCTGTGGTGGAGGGAATGAGCAACCTCTTAGCTCCCATGATTAATCACTGCAAATAGCACTGCTGCACCTGATCAGACTGGGGACTTGTCCTTCATCACTGGCACATCTTCCCTCTCACAATATTGATTCTATGTTGTACATGAACTGTAGTGACCTGCAAGAACAGCAGCACATTTATTTCCTATGTTAAAATCATATGTTCTATGACAGACAGAGGTGTTCAATATTTCAATATGCTCCATGATCAGAAACGCCAGCAGTTAAAATCCGATGACATTTCTCTTTCATGCCAATACTGAACCTCAGCTTTTTTTTTCCTCCCAGGAATATTCACAATGATCCCTTCAGCAACAGCGACCCCTTCCAGCGAGGCGCTTTTCCCCAGCCTGTCTTGTCAGGAGTTCTGGAGGTCACAGGTTTCAGGCTATTCCGGATCTGTGTCTCGCCACATCAGTCATCGTGCCAACAACTTTAAAAGACACCCAAAGAGGAGAAAACATATCCGCCCATCTCCTCCTCCACCCCCAAATACACCATGCCCTATTGATCTGCTTGACTTAGGGGATCTCCACCCTCAGAGATCTTTCCTAGAACTGCTGTTTAATGGGTGTATTCTCTTTGGGATTGAGTTCAGCTATGCCATGGAAACGGCCTATGTGACTCCTGTGCTGCTTCAGATGGGGCTGCCAGATCAGTTGTATGGCATGGTGTGGTTTATCAGTCCAATACTAGGTAATTTTACTCTCTTGCATTTCCATTGCACAAGCGATGAGTTTGTCACAGAGTTCTTTCTCTTCTTTGCTGTTAAATTTACTATACAGTGTTGATACCTGAGGTGTGGAAGCTGGGACCACTATCCATAATTTTAGAGAACAAAATGGAGAATATACCTCACTGGCCCTGTCTGAGGTGGGCAAGATGTGACCAGAGATCTCTCAGGGTATGTCTACACTACCCCGCTAGTTCGAACTAGCGGGGTAATGTATGCATACCGAACTTGCTAATGAAGCCCGGGATTTGAATTTCCCGGGCTTCATTAGCATAAAGCCGGCTCTGCCATTTTTAAAAGCCGGCTAGTGCGAACCCCGTGCCGCGCGGCTACACACGGCACGGGCTAGATAGTTGGAACTAGGTAGTTATTCCGAACTATCTGTACGCCTCGTGGAACGAGGTCAGACCAACGGCCCGTCCAGCCCGATATCCTGTCTGCCGACAGTGGCCAGTGCCAGGTGCCCCAGAGGGAATGAATAGAACAAGTGATCCTCACATGATCCGTCCCCCGTCGCCCGTTCCCAGCTTCTAACAAACAGAGGCTAGGCCCACCATTCCTGCCCATATTGGCTAATAGCCATTGATGGCCCTATCCTACAGAAAAGAACTAGATAAATGCATGAGCCTTGTTATAGTCATGGATGTCACAACATCTGAAAAGGAGTTCCACATGCCTGCACTGTGTGAGGAAATACTTCTTTCTGTTTTTAAACCTTCTACCTATTACTTTCATTTGGTAACCCCCTAGTTCCTGTGTTATGGGAAGGAGGACATAGCTCTTCTTTATTCTTTTTTTTCCATATCAGTCATGATTTTATAGACCTCTATCATATCCTCCCTTTGTCCTTTCTTTTTCAAGCTGGCAGGGTCTCCAAAAGGAGAATATGGAGACTAACTCTATCTGGGCCTGTCAACAAGCTGGGTGGAAAGGTGGGGGGTAGCTTTGCGTTCAAGAAGGCATCCCAGAGATGAATACATTTACTTCTCAGCCCGGAGTTAGGGTTTCTGTTGGGGTTGTGACCCGTTTCTCTGCACAGACATGGGCTGGAAGGCGTATATCCCACAAGGTGAGTAACATCCTTTTCTCTTCTTCTGAAATCAGTTTTGAAAGTACAAAGAGAAGAAATAGTTCCTGTCCTCAGACAGTGGTACCTAGCCCGAAACCATCCAGGCAGCATTTGGAGTCACACATTGATTTCCTGCTGCAACCCAGGCTATCCTCCTATGTAGGGCTGTGAAGCTGTTCATACGGAACAGAGCACTGCACCTTATGGGATAAAATAATTGCCAGTTCATTTGACACTGTTTGTCAAACTCCACTGTTACTTTGAATTGGGTTGGTTTGCATTGGGTCAGGCTGGTGCCAGCTGAGCGTCACATGACGTGCTGTAGTTCACAGCTTCCACTCCAGGAAAGACAAAGAAGTCAATAGTGCTAAAGTCAAGATTTTAAAAGGCATTAAGGTCATGCTGCACTCAGCATTACAACGCTTTAATGGTGAAGAACCTAGATCCCATTTCCAAGGTGATGTAGGCACTTAGGAGCCAACATTTCAAGAGCTTACATCCCTTTTGAAAATAAAATGTAGGTTCCTAAACGCAGGAGGCATAGCAATATGCAGCACAGCGCTGCCTAATTCTTTCAAACATAAATGGCTGCTTTTGATCGAGGTCATATTCTGCCTTAGTGATGCATTTCCTGCCCTTTCAACTTCCCATTATGAAGTATCAGCATGGTAATAGAAAAGTCCATTATTTGTGGGTCATTTTTGTTTCAGGGTTCCTGCTGCAACCTTTGCTGGGGGCCTGGAGTGACAGATGCACATCACGATTCGGCAGGAGACGGCCCTTCATTCTGGTCCTGGCAATAGGTGTGGTTTTTAAAAAATAAAAGCAAAAAAACTTTGCATCTCAAAAAATGTAAGAGGCAATGAAAACCTCTTCTTCCCTCCCCTGCCCCGGCAGTGTTCTCTGTGACCGGCCTTGTTCTCCTCTCCCCAAAACCTTCACTAGGGCAGCCCCCTGCTCCTCCTCCTCCTCCTCAGCTACTCAGGACTGAGTACCTCTGCTAGTGAACAAAGTGTAGATTGGGCTTCAAGATCTGGACTTCTCATTCGAGTGCAATACTTGCCATGCGGCTCTGGAAGAGACTCTGGCCTTCTCAACACCACTTTCCTCTTTGGCATAAGAGAGGTGCTGTGGGTGTTAGCTGCTGAGTCTTTGAAAATGAAGTGTGTGCAGCGCTCTGGGGGCTGCATTCGACATGCAGTCCCATTTTCTGAACTCCGCTCTCTGTCCTCAGAAGCAGAAGGGGCTTTGGGTAGAGGCCTTTTGTCCGTATGTCCTTTCCTAGAGTGGAAGCCCCCACCGGAGGTGACCAGAGAGGTTCTTTGCTCTGGAGGACAATTAGGAGGCTCTCTGCAGTTTGCTGGAGCAGACAGATCCAGAGAGGCAGAAGCAGTGTTCCTTCTGATTTCTTATGTCCATGTGTGGAATGAATTTTGTCATGTGCACCAATATGGAAATGACATGCGACACATTTGGGAGCTGCCTTGGCGAGTGAGGAGACGCTCTCCTCTGGGCCCTGCAGGGAGCTGCCCTGGCCAGGGGAAAGGCACACTCTTTTGGCCCCAGTTGGGAGTTGATGTGGCTGCGGGAGGAGCCTCTTTCCTGAGGTGTGGCAGCTCTGTACAGGGCAGCCCTGAGCCCTCTGTGCTACTTCTAGGGAACCCTGGCAGGGGCTTTCTAATTTGCCACTGGCTGGATCTCCCTGCTGCTTGCAGTGGCAGGCAGAAAGGGAAGCAGAGGCAGTTAATGCTTCCTTCCTTCTTGTATCTTCAGCACTTGCAGGGGATGGTGTCCCCAAAGAGTGGTGGGTTTGTACTCAGGCCAGCTAAGCCAGGCTGTGACTGCATGTGCTTTGTGCTGCATTATGATTTATAACAGCGATGGCCTGGTGAGAGCAAATGGGAGCATGTGTATGTGATGTGGGAATTGCCCGTAGCTTGTAGTGCTCACATTAGTCTCCCAAGGCTCTGTCCTTCTGCCTAGGCAACTAGACAGGTTGGTACGGAAGTGTCCTGTCTGCGTGAAGGATTGTCAGCAGAAAGGCAATCTCTAAAGAAATACACAAACAACTCTGGAAAGTGCTCATTCAGTTGTGTGATTGGCTCTAAGAACAGCAAATAATTCAGTTAGTTTGGACTTTGGCAGGAAACGAAATCCAAAAATCATTCTAGAACGCACACAGCACCCCTGGCCTGCAGTGATCTGCCTGGGCCTGATGCTGTGTGTGGAATAACTATCGAAAAGCAAGGACAGATGGAGCTTTCATAATTTGTTCCTCATGGTTGATGTAATTTGGCTCCTAGGAGCACTGCTGGGGCTCTCCCTCATGCTGAATGGAAGGGACATCGGCAGCGCCTTGGCTGACACAGTGACTAACCACAAATGGGGGATCGTTCTCACAATCTGTGGGGTTGTCCTAATGGACTTCAGTGCTGATTCAGCAGACAATCCCAGTCATGCCTACATGATGGATGTGTGTAGCCCAGTTGATCAAGACAGGGGACTCAACATCCATGCTTTGTTAGCAGGTATGTGCTTTTATTTATTCTTGCATGACATTTAGCTATGAGCTGACAAGTTCGAATATAGTAGGGGTGGGGAACCTTTTTTGGATGGGGGGGCCACTGACCCACACACACATCAGCTGGGGGCTGCAGGAAGGTGATGGCAGGGGGTGGGGCTGGAGTGCCAGTGTAGGCTCCCCAATGCTCGGGGAGGACCTAAGCCTCGGGAGTCAGATCCAGGCAACCAAGGGGCCGCATTTGGCTCCTGGGCCTTAGGTTCCCCACATCTGCAATATAGAATAGCATGCCATGAATATAGAATAGGTCATTGAACTTTAATGATACATACAACTTTGGGTTGGAGAACTGTCTTTTCCGCTGCTAGAAGCATAACTCGGCAGATAACTTGAGTAATTTAAAAAATAAACAGTGTATAAAGTATAGTAAGTTTGTGATATGTTGTCCTCCATCAGTTTAGGTTTAGTCTCAAAGAATTTCACAACAAATATAGAACGCTCTTGAGCAGCTTTTCATGACACCCTCCAAAGAGATGTAATAGCAATAATATTCACAGAGAGGGAGATGAGCATACTGTATTCAGGAGAACATACCATTTTTATTGGAGGCGGCAAATCCTGTTGGGTGCCCTAAACCTGCTGACTCTTATTTTCATTGTTAGCTCTCGAACTCTGCAGCCTGGTTTTCCTCTGTCACCAGATGTGTGTGATGAAAGAAAAGACATGGGCCTAAGGCTGTCACCACATGAATGGAGCCTGTATAATTTATATAGTTTTAAACAGTGTTGCCACTTCAGATGTGTAGCCAGCTCGTTATTCAGTACAGTACGGGGAAGAGATTCCTATTGAGTAAGAAGAATCAATTTTAACTTCTCCACTTTTCAGAGGAGAAATACACTCTAATACTCAAGCTACTCCAAGGCAGGTAAACACCATTGTTGTCATTTTATTGATGTGGACTCTGACACACGCAAAGGTTAAGTAACTTGTCTTAAAATGAGCTGGCAAATCTGGGTGGCTTTCACAGCTGGCTTTCAGTTCTTTGTAGCAGTTACTTGTTCAGCATTAATTCCCTTCCCCTCTCTCCCTCACATTAATGTTCTTTTGATGCAAGATGTAGTGATTAGTTTGGAACTGGGAATTTAGCTTAGATCTCATGATGCAAATGGAACTGTGACACATTGCCTTTTTCTTTAGGGATTGGCTGGGAAAGATAATCTTGATCTGTTTTTCCCACCAGGTCTTGGAGGTGGCTTTGGTTATGTGGTTGGAGGAATAAATTGGGATAAAACCAGTTTTGGAAGAGTTGTGGGAGGGCAGCTCCGTGTCATCTATGTCTTCACAGCAATCATATTGACTGTTACTACTGTCTTGACACTAATTAGCATTCCAGAAAGACCGCTGCAGTCTTTTAGCAAGAAGAAAAAAGTGATGAAGAGCCCAAGTCTTCCTCTTCCTCCTTCTCCACCTCTTTTGTTCGAGGAAGGTGTAAATGAAAACCTCAGTTCACGTAGCTCAGAACATTTATATGCAAGTTTTACAAGCCCAATTTCTCCTCTCAGCCCGCTCACACCAAAATATGGCAGTTTTATCAGTAGAGACAACTCCTTGACAGGAATTAATGACTTTGCATCATCATTTGGGACCTCGAATATTGACAGTGTGCTCATAGATTGCTTCACAGGAGGGTATGATGGCTATTTAGCAATCCCAGCTAGCTTGCCCAGACAGGTGGTCAGTGTTAGCTTTCCCAGGGCGCCAGATGGCTTTTACAGCCAAGAAAATGGAATTTTGGACCAAGGGGAGAATTCTGTAAATCCAGGGCCAGATGGAGATGCACTAAGGGTAGGTTCACTGGATGCAATAAAGCCACAATCAATAGGGATTCTGAAAAGGCCTCAGACCTTGGCCATCCCAGATGTAACAGGATATTGTCCAGAAAGTAGCAGAAGAAGGAACGTAACTTTCAGCCAACAGGTAAGGCCAGAAAATATTTCCAGAAACAATGGCATGACTGTGTAATCTGAACATTCATTTAGTCTCTTTAGTTTCACCTTTTTATTTTAAAATTCTTAAATCTATACTTTATCACAACCACTGACTTGTTTTGTTTATCTATACACACCTGTGATTAAGGGCTTTTTGTAACAGCTTGTTTATGGGAATACCATATATAAACTCATATAATGAGTCTATTAATAAAGAGGGAGAGGATTCGAGGAACAAAAATGAATAAGAGATTGCAGGAAACTATTGATGAGGACTCTCTGCCAAGGAATAATGTAGGCCTCTTCCTGCTGCTCGGGCAATATAATAACACAAGCTGAAGAAGCACCTTTTCTGCATCAGCATTTCTGAGCTTAATGAAATAACCGAAGGGACGGTGAAAATCACACAGTCAGTACTAGAGCCTATATCTTCCCCTCCTTCCATAAAATTTCAGGGTGAGGATGCAGGGGAAGGGAGATTTCCAGCTCCCAGGAAAAGGCTATGACACTTCAGGAAGAGAAGCAGAGGTATAATTTCTCAATGGCTTAAATGACTGCTTCTTGGAGCAGCTGGTACAGGAACCCACAAGGGGAGAGGCAATTCTTGATTTAGTCCTGAGTGGAGTGCAGGATCAGGTCCAGGATATAACCGTTACAGGACCGCTTGGGAATAGTGACCATAATATAATAACATTCAACATTCCTGTGGTGGGAAGAACACCTCAGCAGTCCAGCACCCTGGCATTTAATTCCAAAAAGGGGAATTATGCAAAAATGAGGAGGTTAGTTAAACAGAAATTAAAAGGCACAGTGACTAGAGCCAAATCCCTGAAAGCTGCATGGAAACTTTTTAAAGACACCATAATAGAGGCCCAACTTAAATGTATACCCCAAATTAAAAAACATAGCAAGAGACCTAAAAAAGAGTCACCGTGGCTTAACCACCATGTAAAAGAAGCAGTGAGGGACAAAAAGGTATCTTTTAAGAAGTGGAAGTCCAATCCTAGTGAGATAAATAGAAAGGAACAGAAACACTGTCAAATCAAGTGTAAACATGTAATAAGAAAAGCAAAAAAAGATTTTGAGGAACAGCTAGCCAAAAACTCAAAAAGAAATAAAATGTTTTTTAAGTACATTAGAAGCAGGAAGCCTGCTAAAAAACCTGTGGGTCCCCTAGATGATCGAGCTATAAAAGGAGCAATCAAGGACAATAAAGCCATTGCAGAGAAACTAAATTATTTCTTTGCTTCAATCTTCACGGCTGAGGATGTTAGGGAGATTCCCAAATCTGCACCAGGAACTGTCCCGGATTGAAGTGTCATTAGAGGAGGTTTTGGAACAAATAGAAAAACTTAATGTTAACAAATCTCCGGGACCGGATGGCATTCATCCAAGGGTTCTAAAAGAACTTAAATGGGAAATTGCTGAGCTATTATCTGTGGTTTGTAACCTATCCTTTAACTCGGCTTCCGTACCTAATGACTGGAAGGTAGCCAACGTGACACCAATATTTAAAAAGGGCTCTAGAGGCGATCCTGGCAATTACAGACCGGTAAGTCTAACTTCAGTACCGGGCAAATTAGTCGAAACAATAGTAAAGAATAAAATTGTGAAGCATGTAGAAGAACATAATTTGTTGGACAAAAGTCAACATGGTTTCTGTAAAGGGAAATCCTGTCTTACTAATCTATTAGAGTTCTTTGAAGGGGTTAACAAACATGCGGACAAGGGGGATCCAGTAGATATAGTATACTTGGATTTTCAGAAAGCCTTTGACAAGGTCCCTCACCAAAGGCTCTTGTGTAAATTACATGGCCATGGGATAAGAGGGAAGGTCCTTTCTTGGATTGAGAACTGGTTAAAAGACAGGAAACAAAGGGTAGGAATAAATGGTAAATTTTCAGATTGGAGAGGGGTAACTAGTGGTGTACCCCAAGGGTCAGTCCTGGGACCAATCCTTTTCAACTTATTCATAAATGATCTGGAGAAAGGGGTAAGCAGTGAGGTAGTAAAGTTTGCAGATGATACCAAACTGTTTAGGATAGTCAAGACAGAAGCAGACTGTGAGGGACTCCAAGAAGATCTCACCAAACTGAGTGATTGGGCAACAAAATGGCAAATGAAATTTAATGTGGATAAGTGTAAAGTAATGCACATCGGGAAAAATAACCCCAACTATACGTACAGTATGATGGGGGCTAATTTGGCTACGACAAATCAGGAAAGAGATCTTGGAGTTATCGTGGACAGTTCTCTGAAAACTTCCACACGGTGTGCAGCGGCGGTCAAAAAGGCAAATAGGATGCTAGGAATTATTAGGAAAGGGATAGAAAATAAGACCCAGAATATCTTACTGCCCCTGTATAAAACTATGGTACGCCCACATCTTGAATACTGTGTACAGATGTGGTCTCCTCACCTCAAAAAAGATATTTTGGCCTTGGAAAGGGTTCAGAAAAGGGCAACTAAAATGATTAGGGGTTTGGAACGGGTCCCATATGAGGAGAGGTTAAAGCGACTGGGACTTTTCAGTTTAGGAAAGAGGAGACTGAGGGGGGATATGATAAAGGTCTATAAAATCATGAGTGGTGTGGAAAGGGCCAATAAATAAAAGTTATTTATTAGTTCCCTAAATAGAAGAACTAGAGGACACCAAATGAAATTAATGGGGAGGTTTAAAACTAATAAAAGAAAGTTCTTCTTCACACAGCGTGTAGTCAACCTGTGGAACTCCTTGCCAGAGGAGGCTGTGAAGGCTAGGACTATAATAGAGTTTAAAGAGAAGCTGGATAATTTCATGGAGGTTAGGTCCATAAAAGGCTATTAGCCAGGGGATAAAATGGTGTCCTTGGCCTCTGTTTGTCAGAGGCTG